TGATTTCGGCATACGGCGCGAGAGGCCCGTTTGGCAGAATGTAATGAAAATGTGGGGTGCCCCCAAGGAGTTCGCAACGCCGCGAACGCAAGTTTTTAATCTAAACAAAAAACGGATGATGAAAGTCCACATGTGTTTTAGATGTCTCAGGGCTCTCGGTTTTGAAATCTTCACGAAACCTCTGGTGTTTGACGATTTCTGGCACGCGCGCGACAACGCGCGCGTGTGCACTTTGTCTTGTTTTTGGCAAGGGACCCGTGCGACCACACGCGCGCAACGGCGCTCCTGCGATTCAGACGCGCGCGCACGAGAGGCCCGTTTGGTAGCATGTTTTGACAAATTTGAACAACCGATGGTTACCTCAAGAATCCGCAAGAGCCTTGGAGCAAGCTTGGTGTTAAAAACTCTGCTGGCAAGCATGTGTTTGACCTGGTTTCGGCTCGCTCCATTGCGCCACCCATACGAACGCGAAAGTTCGCACAGGACGTGCCCCATGCGCGCGCGACGACGCGCGCGTGAACACGCCGTCACATTGGTTGCATGGGATGTTTTAAACCGGATGAGTTTTGATAAACGATTCTGGGCTCTTTCTTCGCAGAGGATATGGGGCAATGATGGCCGACCTGGGATGGTAGGAACACATCTCGAAGATGGACGATGGGGCGGAATCGCGTCAACACGGAAGAAGGCACCGATCAGTCCAGGGGGAGTACAGTCCTTACTTCTGGTAGAGAAAAGAATGGATGTTGTGCACTCGACATTGTGCAATATAAGTTGTGCAATAGATGCGGTACAAGAGTGCCTCTATATATAGAGAGACACGCATCTATACAATTTAGATCGCAAGATACGTGACGAAATCTACGTGGTGTACTTGATTATTTCGAATGAGGTGACAAACTCCATGCTCTTGCAAACATCTGACCCACCCTTCCGCTCTTTGGTTTGCAAAGCCCATGAGGCGGCGACTGGGATGTGTCGCGGCGCTGGCTGGTGCATCCTTGCGGCCGCGCTACCCCGCGCTTGCTCGCGCGCACACTGGCCAGCTAGCTTGGCGCGACCGACGCGGCCGCGGTGGAGCTGACCACTGGGCACGTCCCAACGCCCAGCGGGCACCCCAGTGCGAGTCCGTGACTTGGGCGGGCACGGTATCATGGCGTCGCCGACAACGGTAGACTCGATTATGCGAATAGCGATGGTGATAGCGATGGTGGCGATGACGACGGCGAGGGCAATGACGGCGACGATGTTGATCAAACCAACCAATAAAGATTACAATCTCATCGCGTCGGCGATGAAGGTTTTGAAGCGTTCGACGTGCGCGCGGCCGACGGGCGTGAGTGGCCCGCGAGATGTTATTTGACACGGCCGTGACCCCCCCCCCAACACGAGCGCAGTGACGCTCGAATAATGATAGACATGCGGCGCGAGAGGCCCGTTTGGTAGAATATAATGGAAAGGTGGGAACACCTACGGTTGTCTCAAGAATCCGCACGACGGCGAGCTCAGGATCAGTTTGAAAACTGGCGTTGCATAGCCATGTGTTTGTTATATGCTTTCGAGACGCTCATTGTTGAACGCCTTGCGACACCTGCAAAAATTCCTTCTAAAAAATTGGGCCGCGCGCGCGACGACGCGCGCGTGTGCACTTCGTCCCATAAGTTGCCAGAAAGTGTTGCGACAACTCGCGCGCAAGGGCGTTCGAACGATTTCGACACGCGCGCGCGAGAGCCTCGTTTGGCAGCATGGTATGGACATGTTGGAAAACGAAACGCATAGTTGTCTTAAGAATTCGCAAGAGCGCAAGCGCTGGTTGTTGTTGAAAACTCGTGTTGCAAAACGATGTGTTTGTACATGGTGTCGTGGCTCTCCCTTCTGAAATATGTACAAAGTCTTAGGTGTTTGAAAGACCTCGGCATGCGCACGCGAGGACGCGCGCGTGTGCACTTCGCCCTATGTGCTGCAAGGGAGTAGTGGAAAACTGAGGATGTGCGATAAACGGGTGCGCGTGCGCAGTATATGCTGCAGAGGATGAGGGGGAGGTCGATAACATGCCTACCTGGGACGGTATACATTAATTGTTAGAATGGACGATTGGGGCAGGATCCTACGCACATTGCAACACGGAAAGGTGTACTGTTAAGTCTGGGGGGAAGGTCGATCCGATTTCGTTTTTGGGAAGGAGAATTGGTTTTTACACACGAATTAATTCCCATCCCACCCACGCACTTCCGACGGCCCAAGGCGGCCGAAAAGACCACCAAGATCGCCCCAAGAGTGCCCAAGAGACCTCCAAGATGGCCCCAGGACACAAGAGGCTTCCAAGACGGTCTCCCAAGGGCCTGAAGACGGCCCGAGAGGCCTCGAAACCCAAGCAGGCCATGAAGACGACACTGAAGCGCCCCAAGACTGCCCCAAGACGGCCCCAAGACGGCCCCAAGACGGCTTCCGACGGCGCCAGACGGACCAGGAACGCCATAAGACGGCCAAAGACGCCCCCAAGAATTGTTCAAAGGCCCCAAAGAGACCCAAGGAGGCCCCCAAAAGGCCTCCAAGAGGCCCCCAGGAAGCCCCAAGACTGAGCAAAGACAGTCCCAAGAGGTCTCCTCATCCTTCCCCTCGTCTTTTGCTCCTTCCTCGCCTCGTCCTCCCCTTCCTCCCCCACGTGTTCCCAGCAGAGTTTCCACAACGGCTGGGGGAACGCATGGTCCAGTAGCGTGGCCAAACTTTACCCACACGTTTGGCCACATAAGGGGTATCATGAAGGGCAGGGGGCAGCGGTGATTCTCCGTAGGTTTTCGATACAGAACACAAACACACATACACACACCTCACATACGAGCACACACAAGACACGTACCAAGCACACAACACACAAAACACACGCACACACAAACACACACACACACGCAACACACAACACACAAACACACACGCACATGCAACACACACACAAACATAACACACACACACACAAATAGCACATAGCTTACACATAACACACACACCACACACACACACTGCGTTCTGCGTCGCAGCGCGGCAGAGACAATCCGCTCGCTCGTCCAGGAAACCCGGGCTAATGTGTTGCGAATTGCCCCGCATGCACAACACACTCAGCTACCTTACATGATCTGTTGCATGAGCCTGCGCAAGGACGCGCCATGTGCAATGTGCATGAGTATAAACACTGGGATGAATCAATTAGTCAATAACTACATCTACGTATACATATAAAAAAAGAAAGGACCGAACAGTCACGCATTGTCCCGGGGTACGTGGTAAAAGCGGCGTTCCGTCCGGCGGACTCTGCTTGTTGTGGTGCGTTCTCGCCCGCGATCCGCCCGCGACCCGCCCGCGATCCACCACGCGACCCACCATGCGACTCACCCGTGACCCAATCGCGACGCGCCCGCGACAAACCTCGCGCCCAGCCCTTCACCCGTATCCGCAATTGCGGGGTACTGCGTATGTATGCATGTGTCTGAAATGTGTACAAAATTGCACTCCTGATTTTTATTCCGGAGTCGGGCACCCCGCACAACGCAGGATCAGGGGAAACATGATGTTCGAGGGGCTGTCGGCGACCGCGCGAGTGGTGGAAAACTTGGTGGTATGTTTCTCGATCCGGGCGAGGCGGCGAGGCTGTCGAACAATAAATACGATTCCAAGCCAAACTGTGAGCGTTTTCTTAGTCGGCGATTCGACATTGGGCGGAATCGTGGGGGAGGGGGGGGTCTGGCTCAGGACCTCTGCATAGTGCGACTGTTGGCAACAGCGCGTCCTATGGGGGAGACTCCGCCTGCTCGAAACGGGCGCCAAAAACAGCCCAGATCTACTCCACGGGGGGGGGGGGGAAGGGGGGTGGGGGTGTGCGAGGTTCCGCGCCGATCGGCAAAACAATAAATGAGAAAACGACGACACCGTGGTGTTGGGTCCTCCTCTCGAAGACGCAATGCCCCGCGTCCCCTCGCCTCACTCCCTCCCGCCCCCCTCCTCCCCCCCTCTCCTCCCTGCCTGCCCCTCTCCTCCCTCCTCTCCGAAGCGTGTGCGGGCCACGAAGCGTGCTGGCACACCCCTCACTCGCCTCGTGGCCCGCAGAGGGCTGCTGCAAAGGCCTCAGTAGCAGGGTATCGCATGCCCCCATGCACTTCTCGATGGAGGCCCAATTTTCTTGCCCGCCGATCTCCGCCGATCCGACGCTTCTCCCGCCTCGGCTGCCGAGGCACGCCGATTCGAAACGTGTCGACCTCCGATCCAACTCATCGACTCCATTTTGGGCTCTCCTGTTCAGATGATTCAGGAGGGGAAAAAAAACACATGCCTCATGCGCTTCGCGGCCCAACAGGCAGCTTTTCCCATCTCGAGGCGCATAACCTATGAGGAGAGGGCTATGTCCTGCGCTACTCACAGATGCTGTGGAGTGGGTCCTTCGCCAGCTTAGGCACCAAGGTCCCCTTATCACAATACAAGCTGTCAGTGCGTATACAACATGGAAGCCTGTCGTGTCGTAAGATACATTCTCCAGGTCAGAACTCCCGGTTTCTACATCAGTCGAGCCAGTGGATCTAACCCTTGCTTGCCGAAAAAAGGTAAAGGGCCCAGCGGCCCCGAGGCAGACAAAAGCCACATCGCGCAGTCCTGGGCATGCTGAAAACTGGAGCTGGAGAGAGCCGGCATCGTCTGCGGGAACCTGCCAGCTCCAGAACTCCAAGCGCTGCGCTCGCAGCACATGCGCAGAAAGGAAAAGACCTCGGATACACACATCCTGGCCAAAGTGTCTGCCTCCTGCAACCAGCCCTCAGCTCCCAGTTGCTCTGTTCCACGGCGTCAGATGTTGTAGATCGGAAGGCTGCAGAACGCGGGCACCCCGTGGCCGACAAGGGGGGCCCGCTGCCCTATCGAGTCTGAGTTCCCTCGGCTCCTGGGCGTCCCAGGACACAGCAGAATACAGCATGAGCGCGCATCCCTGGCCACAGCCCCGCAAGACGCCGTGAATTCTAACGCGTGCGGGCTCCCGCGGCGGCGCTCCTGCGCCAACCGCGGCGCAGCCGCGCTCTCAAGGCCACCACAGCCTGCAAACTACGGCGCCGCCGTGCCCCCGAGGCCTCAACGTCCCCAGCGAGCCACGACGCGGTCGCGCTCCCGAGGCCACAGCACGTGGTCAATCGGCTCACGCCCGCGCTCCTGGCGGTGGTCCAGAGTACATCCCCGCCGCGGAGGTTCAGAACGAGCAGGAGCTGCCATCGGTCTCGGTCCCCTTTGCGTACACACTTTGATCGCGAGAGGCCTCACGAATGGGGCCCGCGCAGATGTGGTCGGAGGGTCGCACCGCATCGCCGACGCATCGCCGATGCATTGGCGGTACATCGGCGACGTCGGCGGAGAATGTGGCGATGTCGGCATGGGGAACATCGGGCCCCACGTCGAGCCGCATCGCCGCTGCGCAGGAGGAGGAGGAGGAGGGGAAGAGGGGAGAGAGGAGAGGACAGGACAGGACAGGACAGGACAGGACAGGACAGGAGGAGAGGAGAGGAGAGGAGAGGAGAGGAGAGGAGAGGAGAGAGAGGACCCCACACATAGTGGAAGCACCAAATGCATGAACATAATGTTGCTGAGGTCCGCGCGGCTCTCTTGGATCGGCGCCGGACCCCCCCCCTCTCCTTCCTGGAGCGCGCAGCGCGCGAGGGAGGGGGTGCCAGAAGGCGCCGCCCGAGGGAGGCCCAGCGCGGATGTCCGACGAAGATTTACGTCCATGCCGCCTTGTCTTACGGTAGGAGCTCGACCACAAGCAACCTTCCAAAAGGAACCCGACCCTGAGACCCCAGAGCGTCCATTGCGTTGGTGCGGAACGCCACGCTTCCCACAATTATCGAAGCCGTCAACACCCAAGAAACCCAGGAAGCAAGGTGTTTGTTGGCATGGGCTTCAAATGTATTCAAGGCTGTCGATCTTCGAATTCTTTCCGCGCCCGCGTCCGATCCAGAAGACGGAAGCAACATCGCACTGGTATAAATAGAGAACCTCTCGAAATCGGCGGGCTCGACGGATGTAATATTGGGCGCCGCGGCCGTTCCAGAGCGTTCTGGAACGCTCCGAGAGCTGGGGCAACAAAAAGATACCGACACTCCTACTCCGCAGACCTCTCCCAGGGTCCGAGTCGAATCCAGCGGTGGTGACGAGGGCCTCCCAGGAGACCCACACACGCGAAAACGAGAGAAGGCCGGTAGCGGTATAGGCACCTTCTCCTCCTCCGAAGAGCGTTCCAGCATGCTCTGGAACGGATTTAACTCGACTCTGGGCCCGTCCGCCTTTTTCCGCGCCCGCTTCGACCCTACTGATCCAGAAGCTTCCCCGATGGAGTCTGAGTAGATGGTGTGGGAGGATCGCGCCGCATCGCCGATGCATCGGCGATGCGTGGACGATGCAGCGGCGACGTCGGCGATAAATCGAAGACTTCGCCGTAGAGAAAGTCGAGCTCTGCATCGAGCCGCATCGCCGATGCATGGGCGATACGGTGCGATACCCCATCTTCGGGGTCGGCCAAGAAGGGGGCGTCCAAGAGGGGGAGCAAATCATGGCAAGCGGCACGTGCGCGGCCCAGGGGGTGGGCCAGGGAACGTATGGAGATTAGAAGAGGCTCCATGACATCCGGGGAGACATCATGGCCCCCGCCATGACTCTCCCCTCCCCTGGTCATCCCCTCCCTCTATGTAAAACGACGCGAAGATCAGGACAAAATCGGATCGGGATAACTCGAAATCTCTGAGAATCGGCGGGTTTGGAGGATTTATTGGGCGCCGCGGACGCTCCAGAGCGTTCCGGAACGCTCTGAGCGCTCCAGAACGCTCTGGAGCGATTTATCCCCATCCTATCCCTGTTTTACTATGCCGCCCTCGACACCTACTCGGACCACGTCTGGGAGGCCCATGGACGGTCAGGGGGGGCCCGGGGAAACGCCCGGCGCCAGAGCGGCGGCGGGGGCGGGCGGGCGGGCGCCGCGCGGGAGCCGCCGCCGGCCGCCGCGCGGCCGGGCGCCCGCGGGGACGCAGGAGAGGACGCACGCCTTCCTGCAGGAGGGGGCGGGCCCCAAAGTCTCCGACGGGATGCGATGTTCGGAGGAAGGGAGGGTACCCCAGATTTCGTAATAAAGGGAGGGGGGTCTCATTTCGGGGGGGGGTGTCTTCCAGGCTATCTTGGAGGGCCTGGGGGGTCTGGGGACGATGCTGTGGAGGGTTATCCCACGGGGGAGGTCTGAAATGGCTTGTCTTGGAGGGTCCAGACCCCCTGCCTTTTATTACGAAATCTGGAGTACCCACATACTGTTTCCCTCGTTTCGTTTTCCTTTCCGGGGGGCCTCCCGGGCGGCCCTCGTCACCACCGCTGGTTTCGCCTCGAAGCCCTGGTCACAACGCACCCCGGGAGAGGTGAGGGGAGTAGCCGTATCGGTACCTGTTGGTTCTCCAGATATGTCATCCTCCATCGCGGCGCCTGGGGGCGATCCTACTTGGATCATCGCCGACGGCACCCAGGAAGTAGGGGTGGGCGCGCCGAGTTCTCTGACAGGATGCGATATATATATATATATATATATATATATATATACATATACATATACATATACATATACATGTATATATGTATATATGTACATATGTATATATGTATGCTCACGGGGCGCCCCAAAATGGTGCGATGACGAACCACGTGGTGACCTCGGACTCCCCGACGACCTCACCGCGCGGCTCACCACCGCATGGTCTTGGGGCCTCGGAGGCCCCCGTCGACCGAGACGGATTCGGAGTCGGAAAACGCCGTCCGGAGGGGGGGGGGGCGGGCCCAGGTCTCCGACGTGATGCGCTCTGGAGGAAAATCTTCCTACATCCCTTCACTGGGTTTGCGCTCCTGTGCGTACACAGGGCACACTCTAATTGCACGTCTGGCCGGCGATGTCTTGGGGCGAAAGCCACCAGTATCCCGGCCAGAGAGCGCATAACCCACGAGGGCGGGAGGGCTGGGAATTAAAGCAACCCACAGGCAACCGAAACTGCAGCATTCGGCGGTGCAAGATGGCGCCCAGCGGCACCAGGAATAGACTATTACCTGCAGGTGTAATTGGCCTTCAACCTTGAACAGCATAGCACCGGCGACGAAGGACCCACGAGCAAGCCTTCAACCTTGAACAGCATAGCACCAGCGACGAGGGACCCACGAGCTCCCATCACCAGAGGCCTTCGACGCGCCTCACGTGCCCTCGAGGAGCAGACTCCCAATCACGGCTCCCGCCGGCTCCCGCGGAGCCGCCAAGCGTGTGAGGCAGGGCTACCTGCTCAGGAGCACGACGGAAGGCAGATACGCCTGCTCCCTCAGGAGAGCACCAGGCATGTGAGACAAGCCTGCTTGTCACTAATTGGCACCTGCGCGACGAACGCAAACCCCAGAAGCCCCCAGAGGCCAAGAGGAGAGGAGTGCATGATGACACGCTCCGTCGTCATATTTTCCTGCCCCCCAAATCGCTTCGCGATTTGGGGGCTAAGAAAATCTTCCTCCATCCCTTCACTGGGTTTGCGCTCCTGTGCGTACACAGGGCACACTCTAATCGCACGTCTGGCCGGCGATGTCTTGGGGCGAAAGCCACCAGTATCCCTGCGCATCCCAGGACATCGCATCCTGGACAGACACATCCTGTGCAGACGTGGAAGCCCAATGCACACAGGTGTGTGTGTGTGTGTGTCTGTCTGTCTGTCTGTCTGTCTGTCTGTCTGTCTGTCTGTGTGTGTGTGTGTGCGTGCGTGCGTGCGTGCGTGCGTGCGTGCGTGCGTGCGTGCGTGCGTGCGTGCGTGCGTGCGTGCGTGCGTGCGTGCGTGCGTGCGTGCGTGCGTGCGTGCGTGCGTGCGTGCGTGCGTGCGTGCGTGCGTGCGTGCGCGCGTGCGTGCGTGCGTGCGTGCGTGCGTGCGTGCGTGCGTGCGTGCGTGCGTGCGTGCGCGCGCGTGCGTGCGTGCGTGCGTGCGTGCGTGCGTGCGTGCGTGCGTGCGTGCGTGCGTGCGTGCGTGCGTGCGTGCGTGCGTGCGTGCGTGCGTGCGTGCGTGCGTGCGTGCGTGCGTGCGTGCGTGCGTGCGTGCGTGCGTGCGTGCGTGCGTGCGTGCGTGCGTGCGTGCGTGCGTGCGTGCGTGCGTGCGTGCGTGCGTGCGTGCGTGCGTGCGTGCGTGCGTGCGTGCGTGCGTGCGTGCGTGCGTGCGTGCGTGCGTGCGTGCGTGCGTGCGTGCGTGCGTGCGTGCGTGCGTGCGTGCGTGCGTGCGTGCGTGCGTGCGTGCGTGCGTGCGTGCGTGCGTGCGTGCGTGCGTGCGTGCGTGCGTGCGTGCGTGCGTGCGTGCGTGCGTGCGTGCGTGCGTGCGTGCGTGCGTGCGTGCGTGCGTGTGTGTGTGTGTGCATGTGTATGCCCGCGCAGCGACAATCAATTTCGTACACGCTGTTCCTCCTGATTGTTTTCCACGCTCAGTCCTCGCCGGAAGACTCCGAGAATTCTATTAAGAATTCTGCTTCCTCCAGCGTGCCGCGGGCTTTGGCCGAAGCGTACGCGAAGGCCGTCACGCCCCTCCAGTCCCCCGAATAGAAAAGCGCTGCCGGCCCATTGGCCTGCACTACTTCTGTGGCCCATCCGCGGCGGAACGCATGAGTGCCCCAGGATCGCGCGTCGGCGAATCCTAGAGCTTGCGCAGCGAGCTTTAAGCAAGCCAGCGATTCGTTATACGAAATACTCGCGAAAGAGATACCGCTGTCTGCCAACCTTCGCCTCAGCACGCATGCGCCGCAGAGCGCATTGCCCTGCAACTTGCAAATGCACCGGCGCGAAACCTCCACCGGCTCAGCACAACATTTGCGATTGAAGAAAGTTATCCGGACAGCTTCGGTTCCCCCTGCAACAGTCTCAATGACAACTTGCGCCTGAGGACGACCCAACTGCAAAGTTTCACCATATATGAGACAGAAGTGCCGAGATACGACCCATGAATCACCAATGTCCTGCCGATCATTGCCGACGCACCATTGCGCCAACTTGCGGGTCTGATCAGCGGTCGCACGGATTTTTACTCGTCGAATGGCTCTTCCAGATTTCTCTGCCCCACGTGCGATGCGGCTCGCGTCGAGCAGCGCCCCTAAAGGACTACGCATCCATCGCAAGATCGCTCTCAAATGCGAAAGGTATTTACCAAGTGAAGAAGCACTGCGAAAGAGAACGACAAACGCATCCACTTGCGCATCTGCTGGGGGCCAGGGCTCAAGCTTGTGTAGAATGCAATTCTGTCCGTGAAGGCGAAGCGCCGAAGCGTAGCCCGAAGCACTCGCCTTCCAGCCACAGAACTCAATCCACATCGCTTCCTCCTCGAAACTTTCCCCAGATCTGCTCTGAGACCGCCGTTCTGCTTCCGCCCGAGG